CTGTCGAGTCGGTTCTGACCCATAGCGACCCTGTTTAGGTCTGTATAAGGTTATGAATCGGGCTGCGAACCGCAAAGTCAGCAGTTTGAAACTACCAGCTGTTCCATGGGAGAAAGATGAGGCTTTCTGCTCCCGTAAAGATTTACAGCCTCGGAAACCCTGTACAGAGTCGCTATGAGTTGGAACCAACTCCATGGCACATAACAACAACAACATCTTTACAGGAGCAAAAAGCCTCATCTTCTTCCTGCAGAGGGACTGATAGATTTGAACTGCTGACTTTGTGGTTAGCAGCCCAGCTCATAATCCAGTAAGATACCAGGACTCCTTGCCCAACCACACAGACAAGTACAATGATGAAGAAAGTCTGTGTTTGCAGGGTTAAGGAGGTCATGATTCCGTTCTGGCCTCTGTGCCTAGCACTGCCATAAAGTGAGGACTCAGGCTAGTGTTAATCTGAACAGAGGGGCTAGGCTTCAGTAACCAAAAGCCATCTAATCCTTTCTAAAAGCATGAGGGTGAGAAGGCCCCGGGCTGCATGAGTTTGTCACAAAGCCCCGACTCACAGACATGCTCTTTCACACTTAGGACTTCCCCTGGGCCTGGTTCCTCTCCTCCTATCCCTACAGGAAGACTGGACATTCACAGGGAAGAGATCACCTCTCTGTCTGCCTCCTGACACCTCAAGAAACAGCTCCCTGACTGCTGTGATCCAGTGAATACACCTGCAGGTGGAACCAAAAATACACTGGCTTGCTTTTCAGTGGCATGGAAAGCTAGTGTCTTAGCCAGGCTGGGTATCTGGAGCGGCTCCATTTGTAAAGTCAAGGGGGGGGGAAACAAGTGCAGAAACTTGCTGCAGTTACACTCTTCTATACTTGTGCTTTTTTTGACAAAAATGATCCGCTCTTTGCATCCCTTCCGGAGAACACAAATACTGCTCAAATCAAAACTGGCAATAATAATAGGGCAAGTCATTACCCTCCCTTCCACAGAGAAACCAAAGCTGTACCCGTTTATTGGCACTTACACTAACTCTGGGGTGTGCTGCTGCCAATCACAACCTATTTTATATAGTCTAGATTCATCCTTTTCTAATTTAGCTGACTTTCCTTTCTAGTTATTTAGACCCATATGGTAAACCATTCACAGCTGTGTTGTACATGCCACAGTATATATTTAACCCAAGGCCAATCTAGACCAAGAGACTCCTACAGATTGAAGTCTCACAAGCCTCTTGTTAATTAAGTGATAATACTACTTTTGCATGGCTTTGCTCGGTTTTTAACTAGACACCAATTAAGGTAAGTAATTGCATAGTATACCTCAAACCAGAGTAGACACAAAACAAGCATGCATTGATTTCAGTAACATATTCAAGAAATAGTAAGGTTCCTTCAAGTTAGAATTACAATACAAAGCACACTGGCTATATGGATTGAGCGAAAATTTTGTATCTAAAGTCCTTGGGGGAAGGTAGATTCTGAAACTGTCCTTTGCTGCCTCATTACCATGTGTCCAGACATGTGCACTAACTCACCTGCATTCGCCTGTCTTCTTTTAACTACTAACTACTGATCTAATAACTGCTAACAAAGAGAAATGTTCCTGAAGAGCTTGGTTGTTCTTATGCACCCAATAAATGAGGATACTGATGATGTCAGCTGCTTTTCATCAAACTGGAATGCAAGAATTCAAATCTTAGCTCTCCAGATGGTTCTGCTTAGAAACAACAGTATTATTCTACTAACTCAGAAAGGGCCTGGAGGTATTTTTATTATCATGGGAGTTTCAGGCAGGACCAGAGTTGATTTGCGCAATCTTTACATTCCAGCGTGCTAAAAGATTTCTCATACCGAGATAAAAGAAGCCTTTGTCTCAGGCCTGTAAAGGGCACCATCTTTGTCAGATGAGCTAACTGTTAACTTGAGTGTGTTTCTACAATAGCGCGTTGGGAAACCACAGGAATTCAGACACACCTCAGTAGTGAGACAGTGAATTTTAGGAAAAAAGGAGTCTGCGAGCAGGTGTGCATAGATGTGTGTGTGAACGTATTTTGAGCCCTGTCTATATGTCAGGCAGTATACTTAGTGTATCACACTTTATTTCACTTAATGCTCAAAACAACTGTATGAGGTGGGTATTTGGTTAACCCCACTTGACTTCAGCACGTCAGCCGATGAAAACCTTATGGATCATGGGGGTGGTTCAGGACCTGTTACGCACGGGGTTACCTTGAGTAGAGGCCAACTCAATGAGAGCCAACAACAACAACATAAGCAAGGAAACTGAGACTTAGCAAAGTGAAGCATTTTTTTTGGAACCAGATTGCAAGTAAATGGTAGAGGCAGGATTTGAACTCACTTAGCTCTCATCGACTAAGCTCCATTGAGCAGACAGGATTATAATAAGATCAACCCTCCTGATTTTAGTTTTATTTTGTGATTTAATTTTCTGATCAACTTCCTGATTTCCCAACCTGACCTTTAACAAGTATAGTCATTGAGAAGCACAGAGAAATGATGACTTTGGAATGGTCTAATTGATCCTCCATTCAGTGGTCCAGGCAGCCATCCTCAGGGGTGCCCACTCACTGTGTCCAGATAGAACATAAGGTTGTTTTGAGGCAGAGGACGCTGAGCCTGATGAGACCTGCAGGACATAAAGTCTCTTTCTACTTGTCTTTGAAATCAAAATCACTCAGTGATTCCAAGTGTCTCAGAAAAGATAACCTCGTAATTTATCCTCCAACACGAAAGTTCTCAATGAAAAGGGCTACTATTAATAAATGGACTAGTTCATACGACCACCCTAGTTTTAGGTTTCCAAATACACCCAGTTGAGCGTTCTGGTTAACTATATGAGGCGACTTCATAAAGTTCATGGAAAAAATGGAATTAATATATAATCGATTTTTTCCACGAACTTTGTGAAGTAACCACATATAGAATTTCTACCCATGGTTCAACAACTTGGAATCCTTGGGTGTTTGGTGGTGCAAATGACTAATGTGTTTGGCTGTAAACTTTAAAGTTGGAGGTCCCAGGCTCCCCAGAGACTCTTTGGAAGAAAGATCCAAAGATCTGCTTTTGAAAAGTCACCTATTGAAAACCATATAGAACACAGTTCTACTCTAACACACTTGGGGTCACCCTGAGTCAGAGCTGACTCAACAACAACCGTTTTACTGGTCAGTCACTTGAAGCACTTGACTTGGAAGAGAAGAATGTTGCCTGGCTTTTGGGCAGTGGAATGAGCCAGTAGCTGCACTCACTGCAGGGTGACATCTGTATCTCAAATCTTACCTCGTACTGGGAGGAAACCCGTGGTGGTCCCGCGAGAGGAAGAGGATGTGCAGCAATGTGTGAACAAGATTCATCACACTGCTCACACTGTCAAGGACTCGGGTGGGGGAGGGAGGGGGGAAATGGAGCAACCCCAAAGACAAGCTTCATGCGCATTGGCCCAGAAAGTTGGATCTATTTACTGCTGTAGATACAGACGTCAACATGAGGATCCTATCACTGCTTGCTCAACTCTACCCAATGAAATGCTTATCTGCTTTATTTCAAAAGGGAAGCTTCTATTCCTCCTGGTGCTCTTACTCATCCTGAACTCAAGGAAATACACTATTTCTGACAGGGATTTTCATTTGAACTCCATGGCTAAGTAAAGATCAGCATAACTTGTAAGCTAAAAAAAAAAAAAAGGTCTTCATTTTTCACTCATTAGGTCAATCTAAGAGCAAAGAGTAAAAATTTCCCAGCATTTCTATCAACAAACATAATGATATCCAAGGAGATTCAGCATAAGAAAGATCCTTAGGGGACACCATGGCCAACTTCTTCCTTCTAGAAGAGAGGCTGAGGCCTCAAAAGGAAGAGCCCATCCCAAAGCACAAAGTCATGAGGTCAGACCTCCTGGCTCTTAGCAATGTGTTGCATTAGGTAAGTCTGCTGCAAAAGAGCTCTGCAACATGTTCAAAAGCAAAGTTGTCGCTTTGAGAACTAAGATGCTCCTGACACAAACCATGGTATTTTCAGTCAGTCCTGGTGCGGTGCTATGGGCTAATGCACTGGACTGCAAAGTCAGTTTGAGGTTCAAGCTCACCAGCCGTTCCTCAGAAACCCCATACAGGGTCACTATGGGTCAGAACTTGGTCACACTTAACAACAACATATGCATGCAAAAGCTGGACCATGAATAAGGAAGATAAAATAAGAATGGATGCATGTGAATTGTGGTGTTGGCCAACAATATTGAAAGTACCATGGACTACCTGAAAAACAAACAAATCTGACTTGGAAAAGCTGCCAAAGCAACATTTCACCTCAGATACTCTGGACATGTTATTTAGAGAGGACGCAGAGGAGGACATCATTCTTGATGAAGGAGAGGGTCAGAATAAAAAAAAAGGAAGACTCTCTAGGAAATAGAATGACAGGGTGGTTGTATCAGTGGGCTCAATGGAGCAGAGCTAGGCAATGTTTCATTCTGTTGTAGTGACTCAGAGTCACTGAGAGTCCGAGTCAATGACATGGCACCTAGCAACATTTCCATTTCATTATACTCTTTGAATATACTTTTGCATGTTTAGATCTTCTATCCCCAAAAGGAACCGCTCAGCAGTGCAAACATTTAATGTGCTTGGCTTTTAACAAAAATGTTGGTGGCTTGAGTCAACCCAAAGGCATCTTGGAAGAAAGACTTGAACTATCTACTTCTGAAAACAAGAAGAAAGAGAGAAAGCCAGTCCTGTGGAGAACAGTTCGACCCTGACACATACGGGGTTACCATGGGTCAGAGTGGATACAAAGGCAACTCACTAGTTCTATCTTAAGAGAGAGGGAGGGAGGGAGGAGAAAGATGTGAGGGAGGTAGATCTGGGTCCACTCAAAATTCTGTGATGATTCTAATGACTAATGTATGGCTAATTGAGGGAAAATAAAGAGATGACTAAAAATACCTTAGTCCAAGATGAGAACAAATATATCACATACCTTTAGTCTTGATGGCGGATTCAATGTTCAAAGCATCCCGCTCAGCATCAAAGTTGGTGTACGCTTTGACTGACCCATAAGCACTTGGGGGTGTGGAGTGCTGAGGTTAAAAGATAAGAATACACAAATAACACACATTTAAGATCCTCATGTTGAAAAAACAACTCTGTAAACAAGATGCTTTTTCATTGCTTTTATTCAAATCATCCTCACACTAGGTATTAGGTATCTATAAAAGTATGTATTTCCACTTTTATTTTTACTTTCAGTGAATGCTCAAAAGCAGAGGACTTGAAAGCACCAATTTATTCCAGAATGCTTTGAAGAGCACTACACTGAAATGGAAACAGTACAAAACAAGACAAAAAATGTGAAAATGCTTGAATGACAAGTGTTTGGCCAAGTTTTTGCTACAGGCAAATGAATTTCCACTGGGTCTGTATCGCTGAGCTTACAGTTCTTTAAAAAGCAAATGTAAAATACTTGCTGGCTTATTTCTGATCACTCAGATAAGCAAGGAATGGCCTCTTCTTCCTTCTTCTACACCTTTCCGCTATGGCCACCACTGTGGCTCCAACGTGGTCTGGCCCAGTGGCCTACATCCTCTTTGTGTTTACCAACTTCCTGTTCTCTCTCTTCTCTATATCCTACCCCCTTCCTTTTTTAATACTATCCCTTCTGCCTACCACTCTCCCAAGTTTTTTGTTTTTTTTTTTTCTCTTTTTCTTCCTGTGGTGGTGGTGGTGGTTATGCGCCACGGAGTCAGTTCCGACTCACAGCAAGCCTGTATAAAGGTTTCCAAGGCTGTAAATCTTTACAGGAGCAGAAAGCCTCATGGTTTCCCGAGATTTACAACCTTGGAAACCTTATATATGGTATCCATGAGTCAGAACCGACTCGATGGCAGTGGATTTGGTTTGGGGTTTGATATTGTCTATTAATGGAGTCCTGGTGTGGCGCTGCGGGTTAATGCACTGGGTTGCAAGGTCGGTTTGAATCACAAGGTCGGTGGTTCAAGCTTACCAGCTGCTCCTTGGAAACCCTATACAGGGTCACTATGAGTTGGAACTGACTTGACGACACTTAACAACAACAACAATTGCCTATTAAACCATATCTTCTTCCTGTACCACTCAAAGCAAAGGGCATATAAAAAGAGTGGCTAATGTGGCTTGGTTGGCCCACCTTCAATGTCAAGGCTTCCTGTCCCCAACTGACCGAGACGCACCACCACCACCACCATCCAGTACATGATGCCCATTCACAATGAGATGGCTTCCCATTGGCTCTATTTTTGTGAAGACTCAGGAGGCTCAGGTGCCCCTAACTAACTCTTCACCCACAGGCATCAAGCTACAAGCCACCCCAGCACCTACACTTGTTGTTGTTGTTAGGTGCCATCAAGTTGGTACCGACTCATAGCGACCTTATGCACAGCAGAACAAAACACTACCCGATCCTGGGCCAACCTCACTACTGTTGCCACGCTTGAGTCCATCGATGCTGCCACTTGGTCACTCCATCTCGTTGGGGGTCTTCCTCTTTTTCAATTCTACTCTGAGGAGGCAGCTTTTCCCCAGTCACATTTTGAGTGCCTTCCAACCTGAGAGGCTCATTTCCTGGCACTATATCTGACGGTGTTTCTCTGCTATTCATAAGATTTTCAGTGACTAAATATTCGGAAGTGGTTCATCACTCCTTCTTCCTTGTCTGTCTTCATTTGGAAGCTCAGCTGAAACCTGTCCACCATGGGTGACCCTGCTGGTATTTAAAATACTGGTGGCATGCCTTTCAGAATCACAATGTGTGTGTGAAGTCCATTATGGACAAATAGTAAATATCCATAACATGTATAGCTGTGAACTACAAATGAGTTATCAAGATGTATTCCTTCTAATTTCACTATTTTAATTTTCCAGTAAGGTTATCTGGATGGAATAGAACACACATTTGCACAAACCTAAAGGCAAAATGTTTTTGTGGCATACTGATTGCATTTGTTATGGTGACTACAAAATTTGGATGGAAATCTAAGGGAAAATATTCTCTCACTGATACACAGGGCCATCTATTATTTACAAAGACAGGCAGTCTGGCCATCAGCCATTTGACATATGGTTTCATTTACCACTCCATGGCACATAACCACCACCACCACCTCGTCTTATTCTAAAAGCAACTATGAGTGGGGAAAAGTTTTGCATAAACTTACAGTATCTCTGGAAACAAAATTAAGTTTATAATTGAGCCATTACCTTTAAAAGCTGCTTGACTGAAAAAATCAGATTAGCAAGGTGAAATTGATCTTTTCTTCTCAAAAAATTAGGGGAGATGTGTGGGGCATTTTCTATTTCACTTCTTTTTCTCAGTGTAGAGAAATGTATCAGACCAGAGTAAAGTAACTTCAAAGCCTGCATGAAGAGCCTTCTCATGAAACCTGCTACTGAAAACAAATCTAAGAATCAGATCTGTTAGAAAAACAAATTACCTAACACCTGGACTTGTCTAGACCTCAACATGCAGCTTGCATGGTTGCTAACAGTATGCATATGTTCCAACTGAACAAGAAGACTAAAAAGTACAGGCTTTATACTCCATATCACCTGTGCTTGCAGAAACCCATTCACACTCAACATTTTGATGGCAAGTATCATAAACAACTGGGAGCGCAGTGGCTCTGTAGGATAAGCACAGGACTGGGAACCAAAAGATAGGAAGTTCAAGCCCACCAGTCGCTCTGTGAGAAAAAGGTGAGGCTTTCTGCTCCCACAAAGAGTTATAGCCTCAGAAACCCTGCATAGGGTAGCTATGAGTCAGAGCAGACTCTTCAACAGTTAACAGCAAGTTCATAAACAATACAAAGTCCAGACTGCTGTCAGCTTGCCCTCAATCTGTCTTTGCATTTAATTTCAGTGGAAATCAGTCTCTAAGTGCTGAGTTTTTGTAAAAACAATTTCTACCTTGATGACCTGGGTGATGCAAGGCATTATTAGATATTTAACATATTCACAACTTATATTCCACTTGGTCCTAAGAGTATTTGAAATGACTTTTAATGTTAGCAGTAATAAGAAAAAAGCAACTGTACCAGAATTTCCAAGTTCACAAATTTCTTTATAAATGAACCATATTAAATTTAACTGACTCCCTGGTAGCCAAAGCAATCTAAAAGAAACATGAAATATAACACTTGGTTTTCAAAAGTAAGGGAAAAGCTTTCCTAGATACAAAATTTATTTTTATTTTTTTTTTTAAATATAGCTCCTTTTTCAGAAAAGCTTCCTGGACACTGTGAACAATGTAGGAAGTCCAGATGACATAGAATTATTTTTGATATGGCAGTAGCTTCTGTCAACCATGACTAAATCCCACGGACATGGTATTACAAAGCATTATCGTAACAGTCTCATTGACGTTATGTATCAATATGTTGTTGTTGTTAAGTGCCGTCAAGTCGGTTCCGACCCATAGCGACACTGTACAGGGTTTCCGAGGGTGTAAATCTTTATGGGAGTAAAAAGCCTCATCTTTCTCCCACAGAGCAGCTGGTAGTTTCGAACTGCTGACCTTAAGGTTCGCAGCCCGATTCGTAACCACTACGCTACCAGAGCTCCTTATGTATCAATATAGCGAGAGAAAATGCCAGTCTTGTCAGTATCAATGGTTCTTTCCTATTACAATGTGATGCCAAAAGTTTCTAGTGTTATATGATTTCTCTCAAATTGAACTCTAGATATACTGAAAGGAATGAAAAGAGGAGGGAAGAACCAAATGATGATTGTTGGAATTCCAGCCTTATTTTCTTTGGATGCATAAGGAAATAGAGTCACATGGCTATCCAGAGGTAGGTCTAATTTGCAAAACATACACAAGGTGAAAATGGCATACTTACATCACCCTCCAAGCTGAGCTTGCATAGAATTTCGTGAACCATAGACATCTTGAAAGAAGCTGGGGGTGGAAAAAACAATGCAAAGTCTTTATAAATAAATTTTCCTTGCCCCTGAAGCACAGTGATTCATTATACTAATGTCTACTTCTTGGACCATTTCATCTGAGGATATTAGAGTAATTTTTACAAATAGATGTAATTCCCATCTTATGATTGGGAAAATTACAGCTTGAAGATGGTTTGCCTTAGGTTTGAGATGTTCTTAGGTTTGCTCTTCCTCTGTTGAAACAGAACTGGGGAGATTGATTTGTGAATGCAACACCAAAATGCTCCCCAAGGCTAATGCAATTTGTTCAAACAGTACAAAACCGAGCCTTCCACATATCATAAAAAGTGGCAAGCTTATCAAACCAGCCACTCCCTCTTTATTCCTCACATGCCATTTCATATACTGAAAAAAGCCCCAAACGAAGACTGGGGCCTGGAACCAACAGCACCTGGTTTCATGTTGTCCCATTTCTTAACACAACCCTAGATTACTATTTATCATTATTTTCTTAGCTCAACGGTGCTTGGAAGATACTAAACTTTTTTTATGTTTTTTATTGTGAACTTAATGAAGATTTACAAAGCAGATCATCAATTTTATGTTCAACAAATCATATGCTTTGCTTCATTACATGGTTGCAATCCCCTCCATATACCAACAGTTAACGGCATTTACCTCTCTATTCACTCTAACTCTTGCTCCGTGTCTCCCCCAGCCTTCATCTTTCCTCTGCTAACCTCCTTTTTGTATATTGTATAAGCCCTGTTACTTATGTTAACGTGTGTCTACCTTCTAGCCCATAAATAATTTCCCCTCCACTCCACCCTTACCAACCATCATATATTGTTTCTTTTATGAAGAAAACCTTCTTTTAACACTGGTCCATTTTTTTTGTGATTAACTCATTTCACTCAGCATAATGTCCTCCAGGTTTAACCATGTTGTGAGGTGTTTCACAGATGCAACCTTATTCTTTACCATTTTGTAGTATTCCACTGTGTGTATATGTCAGTTTGTCTAACCATCTGTTTGATATATCTGTCTCCATCTTTCTGATCTATCTCTTCTAGACAGTATATTGAAGGATCCTATTTTCTTATCCATTCTCCTCTTTATGTCTCTTGACTGGTACATTTAATCCATTTACATTCAATGTAATTATCGATAGGTATGAATGGATTGTTGTCATTGTTCTGTGTATGTTTTTTGTGCTGCTGCTAGATTCTTTGTTCCATATAATTTTCTATGCTGAGTTCATTTGTCGGTTTTCTTTTCATTTTCATATCTGTTGTCTTAATGTTTACCAAATCTTTCTGATTTTCCTCTTTTCTTATTTTGATGTGCAAGTGTATTATTTTTCTTCAAGGTTATACCCTGTAATTTATTCATTTTTCCCGTTTAAAACAATCTGTAATTTATTCATTTTTCCCCTGTTTAAAACAATCTGTTTTATCTTGAAATCTATCTGCCTTCCTTGCTTTTTGGAAGTTCTGCAGCTAAACAATTCCCTCTTTTTGATTTGTAGTTGACTCATTATACACTGATATCTCTGGTTCCCTATTTTCAGTCATGTAAATTTGTTTTACTTTAAATATTTCTGTATCTGGATTGAGTTCTGGGTGGTGTCATCATGAATGGTAATCTTTGGTTGTTGTCTGTTGTTATTGGTTCTCAGTCCAAAGAATACCCATTAGCATTTTTGCAAAATGGGTTTGTTGTTGTTGTTAGGTGCCATCAAGTTGGTACCAACTCATAGTGACCCTATGTACAACAGAATGAAACACTGCCTGGTCTTGGGCCAACCTTACCATCGTTGCCACACTTGAGCCCATTGATGCTGCCACTTTGCCAATCCATCTCGCTGGTTTTTTTTTCTCTTTTTCTCGGACCCTCCACCTTACCAAATATGATTTCCTTCTCCAGTGACTGGTCCCTCCTGACAATATGTCCACAGTATGAGAGACTAAGTTTGGCCACCTTGGCCTCCAAGGAGCATTCTGGCTGCACTTCTTCCAACACAGATCTGTTTTGGTTTGGTCATGAAAATTCCTTTAATTTCTGTTTATCAGGAAATATCCTAATTTCACAGTCGCGCTTGAGGGATAATTTTGCTGAGTATAGGATCAATGGAGAAGAGAATGAAGTTTTCAAGGCCTTCATTCTTCTTGGATCAACTATCAACATTCATGGAAGCAACAGTCAAGAAACCAAACAACGTATCACATCAGGCAAATCTGCTGCACAAGACCTATATATTTAAAGTGTTGAAGAGCAAAGATGTCAGCTTGAGGACTAAGGTGCGCCTGACCCAAGCTATGGTATTTTCAATAACCTCATATGCATGTGAAAGCTGGACAGTGAACAAGGAAGACTGTAGAAGAATTGATGCATTTAAGTTATGATGTTGGAGGAAAATATTGAAAGTGCTATGGGCTGCCAAAAAGAACCAACAGATCTGTATTGGAAGAAGTGCAGCCAGAGTGCTCCTTGAAGGCCAGGATGGCCAGACTTCATCTCTCATACTTCAGACATATTGTCAGGAGGGGCTAGTCGCTGGAGAAGGATATCATGTTTAGTAAGGTGTAGGGTCAGAGAAAAAGAGGAAGACCGCCAGAGAGATGGATTGGCAAAGTGGCAGCATCAATAGGCTCAAGCGTTGCAACGATTGTAAGGTTGGCCCAGGATCGGGCAGTGTTTTGTTCTGTTGTGCATAGGGTCGCTATGAGTCGGTACCGACTCGATGGCACCTAACAACAACAACAAGATCCTTGGTTGGCAATTTTTTTCTTTCAGGGTTTTGTATATGTCACCCCATTGCCTTCTTGCCTGCATGGTTTCTGATGACAAATCAGAGCTTCGTCTTACTGGTTCTCCTTTGTAGGTAACTTTTTGTCTTTTCTGAGCAGCTCTCAGAATTGTTTCCTTGTCTTTGACTTTAGAAAGTTTGATTATGATATATCTTGGTGATTTTCTTTTGGGATTTATACTATTTAGGGTTCATTTAGCCTCTTGTATGCTTACCTTATCATCTTTCATGGAAATTTTCTTCCAACAATTTTCTCTCTACTTGTCCTGTTCTGGAATTCTGATCACTCATAAGTTGTTCCTCTTCATGGTGTCCCACATAACTTTTAGACTTTCTTCTACATTTTTCTTTTTTTCTGATTGTTCTTCAAGCATACCAGTATTAAGAGATTTACCTTCAAACTCACTAATTCAGGCTTCCATTGTTGTGCATCTACTCCCTTGCCCTTTCAATGCATTGTCCACTTCTGAGATCTTAGTATTGATCTTCTGGATTTCTAATTGCAGAATTTTTATTATTTCAAAATTTGCATTTATTTTGTCTGTTTGTTCTTGTACTGTTTTCCTAAATTCTCTTAAAGTTTTTATTGTGTTCTCCTTGCTATCAATCCTTTGAAAGCACCTAATTAACATTTTTTTAAAATTCTTTTTCAATTAGTTCCATTACCTTTTCTCATTCAAAAACATTATCTGGCTCATTTCTTTGAGTCATCTTCTTGCTTCTTCATGTGAGCTAAAATTGTCTGTTGTCTGTACGGCATTGTGGAGTTGTTTTATTTGTAAAAACAAACAGTACAGAAGTTGGACCCAGAGGAGAGAAATCTCTGCTGGGCTCCTGCAGTTCATCATGTGCAAGAGGTGGTTGTGGAAGGGCCATGTCAGCAGAGTTTGTAGCCCTACATGGGGTTTCTATTGGCCTCGGTGTTATCTATGTTTGGGTCACTCAATCTAGAAGTAGTTTGTGGGGGCCCTTGATGGAGACGGTTTCAGTGTCTGTTAGGATCACAGGGAAGCTGGGGGCATGGTGACCGGTTAAGTGCTGGTCTGATAGCTCTTTGAGTTTTGTAGGTCTGGAACCAAGCCCACCTGAATCCAGGCACCAAAGTGGAACACTAAATCAGCGTAGCTGGCCCCCGACTCACATTGGCATGGCTTCCAACCACATGGCTCTGTACTTCCAGAGACCGAGGTCTGCACAGGGAGTGGATGAGGGTTGGAGCTGGCCACACCTCTGGTCACCAAGGGAAAGTGGGGGGAAAGAAGAAATCACACCTTTCTCAGCACCCTTGTGAATCTGCTCTGTCAGATCTTCCTCAGCTCTCAAAGCTGCTCTCAAGATGGTCAAGCTGTGTCTGGTCAATTATTCACAGTCAGTCTCCCTCCCTCACCATCCCTACTCAGCCTCTCCTCCCAGCAAGCACTCCTAACCTTTCTTTTGAAGTTCAGGGTGCCAGAATTTTCATATGTGTCCATTTTATTTGGTCTCTCATATCTTCATTGTAGAGGCAGTATGTCTGCCTAGTCTGCCGTCTTGCCAGACAGAAGCCAAGACTAAACTTTTTATGAGAAAGACAATGGACATCTTTTCTGACATGCACTTATTCCATAAAGGACTGCATTCCTTGTATTTAAGATTGAAAATGGCTGGTTTGAATATCAGTCATCTTCTAGCTAACGCCCTTAACAGAATAGCAACACTAAATAGCCTGATGAACTGGCTTCCAAGTTCTGCAATCACACAGTTCCCAGAGCTGATACACCCCAACCCTTGCCAATGCAGAGTACTCAATTGGCAGTAAATTCATTTCTACTGTGCCAAGACAGGTCCTTCAGTATACTCAGCCACCAAATAAAGAAAACAGAACAGGTCTCCATACTGAAACAGAGGGATGACATTGGAATTGCAGCCACTTTTGCTTTGGTCTCTTTTTGCTTAACATTCTTTTTTTTAATTTTATTTTAGTGTTTTATTGTGAGTTATGTGGCAGTTTACATGGGAGAACATTAGTTTAACATTCATTCTTTCGTATATCGTTTCATTGCCATGGTTACAATCCCCTCGATGCATCATCAACCAACCAAAGGGTATACCCTGCAAGCCTGCCCCCCACACCCCCAACACGGTCTTCAGCACACAGTCGCTCTCCCTCTCTGGATCTAAAGTCTCCAGCTGCTCCATCACTCCACGTCATCTTCTCTGCCTCC